TGCTACCCGAACATCAGAAGGGTTGGGCAGTTCTCTGAAGCGGCGGTTGGTGAATTCTCTGAACTCTGGCCAGTGAGCTTTCCCATGGTTAAGGAAAGTGCGGCGTTCAGAGGTTATGAAATCGGGCGACCTGCTTATGGAGACGATTATCGGGAGATGGTCTGAGCCAAGAGAAATGACGGGTTGCCAAGTCACGTCATTTATCAGACCGGGTGACACTATGGTTAAGTCTGGCGAACTGTGACACTCTCCTCTTATTCGGGTGGGGGCATCCTCGTTAACCGTGCAAAATGTGGAGCAGTCAATCTGCTCTGCCAGCGCTGATCCCCTCTGGTCATTACCTAGGACGGAATGCCACAACTCATGGTGGGCATTAAAATCCCCTAGTACCAGGCGGTTATTGCCTACCAATAATGGGCTAATATCAGGCAAATAACGCGGTTCACAGCTATTAATCGGCGGGATATACACATTAAGCACCTCTACCTCGGCAGTTCCACACTTGACTGCTACCCCCATACATTCCATGTATGGGTCACTAGAGACTAGCTCAAGCGAGATAGGTCTGTACTGAACAGAATGGTGTAACAGGAACGCTAATCCCCCACCTCCACTTCTGGTGCGATCCTTCCTTAGTACGTTGTAACCATAACAACGTTGTAGGCTGCAATTTTCATTCAGCTTGGTTTCCTGCACCGCTGCGATCTTAATATTCCTCCGACTCATAAATTCCACTATCTCATCAATTTTGCCTCGAAGTCCGTTGCAATTGAATTGCAAGAATGATGCACAATCCGGAGTTGTAACAGCAACATGTGGCGTTAGGTGCTGCGGTGTTGGTTGCTGTTCTGGAGACTGCGGTGGAGTGCCATACTCCGACGACGTCTCTGACGAGGACGACGAAGAAGAGGACTCGCTGGGGACTACGTTACTGCAGCAAGTCGCAACATAATCCCTTTCGCTGTAGTCTCGCAAACGCCTTAATCCGGAACAGTTCTTGAAGTGCACCCACTCTCTGCATCCATTACATCGCACCGAGACAGATCTGTGGTGGATGACGTTCTGACAAACCGAGCAGAACCAAGGTCCGGGGTTTTCCTCAATCCCGGCACGGACCAATAAAATCCGGAGCAACCATTCCGGGATATGCTGCTCCCAATGCAGAAAAATAAACAAACACAAACATGTACATACTGGGTTGGCAGCCGCTGGCCGAAACTGGAATCTTGTTGTTTCGGGTCAATCCGGTATCGTAGAACCCGCTGCCGTGGGATTGGGGAATTTGTTGTCGTTTTGGGTGTTTAACAATTATTCTTATTAGCTCTATTATTGAAACTTGCTTAATATGCTAATGGGGCTTGGTTAAAAATTCCCACTCTTAAGATGATTGTATGGAACAGTGGGGGATTCACCACAGTATGTTAATAATAGATAATTATGCAAAATTTAAACAAATATTGAATATCATAATAATTTTTGGTAAAGGTTTGTTTATTATTTTGTCCCACTGTACAACGTTTTGTTATTGTGATCTGATATTTCGTTTTATTCATCAAATCCAATTCCAGAATATACAATGGGATTATTTCAGAATAGGGTTATTGACTTTATTTAAAAAATAACACTTTAGTTTTATTAAACCACAACCGCAAGCACGAGTATCGAAAACAAAATTTTTGAAATATCATCAGCATTGTATAATTAATCCAATTATAATTTAGAAAACACTAGCAGCTGGTGGATCGAAGACCAAGAAAAGTAGCAAGTTTAACTCAAACAAACTGTAAGACACCAACTGAACACAATGCCCTTCGCTATCCCATTTTGATTTTTATGCATTAAAAATTTTATATACGAAATTTAGGCTGTAAGTTCGGCCGGCCACCATTTGGTACAAATTTAGCAATTTTCAAATAAAAAAATAAAATCCGTTAAAAATTCTGTTAAAATCTTAAAAATACCGAATGTAGCCGTATATTAGGATCTATACGACAACGTGGACCTGCATAGGCAACTTTTGTCAGAAGCTATTACAATATTCAAATGCGAAACTTGAAAAAAATCTGTTTATAATGTAGCTAAAATCATCAAAATACCGAATATAGGGAGGTACCATGGGTGTTATAAAACGTGGACCTGCACAGACAATTTTCTGACATAGGCTGTAGTGTCCATTACGAACTTCAAATGCGAAATTTGAAATAGTTCCGGTAAATAAGGTCGCTAAAATCATAAAAATACCAAATATCGGAGGTACCGTTATATGGGGCCTATACGAAGACGTGGACCTGCACAGACAATTTTCTGTCATAGACTGTAGTATTCACGAACTTCAAATACTAAATTTGAAATAGTCCCGGTAAATAATGTCGCTAAAATCATCAAAATACCCAATATCGGGGGTACCGTTAAATGGGCCTATAGGAAGACGTGGACCTGCATAGACAATTTTCTGTCATAGGATGTAGTATTTATTGCGAACTTCAAATACTAAAATTTAAATAGTTCCGGTAAATAATGTCTCTAAAATCATCAAAATACCGAATATCGGGGGGTACCGTTATATGGGGGCTATACGAAGACGTGGACCAACATGGCTCATTTTCTGTCTTAGGATGTAGTGTCTATTACGAACTTCAAATGCCAAATTTGAAACACTTCCCGTAAATAATGTCGCTAAAATCATGATAATACCGAATATCGGGAGGTACCGTTATATGGGGGCTGTGCAAAGTCGTGGACCTGCACATACAATCTCCTGTCATAGGCTGTAGCATCCATTTCGAACTTCAAATACCAAATTTGAAACAATTCCGGTAAATAATGTCGCTAAAATCATCAAAATACCGAATATCGGGAGGTACCATTATATAGGGGCTATACGACGACGTGGACCTACATTGCCCATTATCAGTACAAAAAGTCCTGCAGACTCTAACTTCGTTCGGAAGTTAGAGTGATTTCCACAGACGGACAGACGGATAGACGGACGGACGGACGAACATTGCTAAATCGACATATAATTTCATGCTGATCAAGAATATATATACTATGTGGGGTCTAAAATTTATATTTCGAGGTGTTACAAACGGAATGACAAACTTAATATACCCTCCTTACTATGGTGGAGGGTATAAAAACAAATTCAATAAAATATTAAAATAGCATCAGATGTATACCCCCAGCCTTTAGGTTATGATTATTCAAACTGTTGACCCTTCCGATGCAGTTGGCCAATATTGACCAATTCGTATCTGACCTAAGACTGTTATACAGGGTGAGATTAAAAAAACTGTTAAACATTTTTTACATTTTTATACCCTCCACCAAAGTATGGAGGGTATTTTAAGTTTGTCATTCCGTGTGTAACACCTCCTACAGCCTATGACAGGAGATTGTCTGTGCAGGTCCACGACTTCGCACAGCCTCCATATAATGATACCTCCCGGTATTCGGTATTTTCATGATTTTAGAGACATTATTTACCGGAACTATTTCAAATTTAGTATTTGAAGTTCGTAATGGATACTACAGCCTATGACAGAAAATAGTCTTAGTAGGTCCACGTCTTCGTACAGCCCCCACATAACGGTACCTCCTAATATTCGGTATTTTGATGATTTTAGCGTCATTATTCACCGGAGTAGTTTTAAATTACGTATTTAGAGTTCGTAATGGGAACTACAGTCTGTGACAGAAAATTGTCTATGCTGGTCCAGGTCTTCGTATAGACCCCATATATCAGTACCTCCCTATATACGGTATTTCGACGATTTTAGGTACAACACTCACTGAAATTGTTTGAGATGTCGTATTTAAAGTTAGTAATGCATGCTACAGCATGTGACAGAAAATTGTCTATGCAGGTCCAGGTCTTCTTATAGCCCTCATATAATGGTACTTCCCGGTATTTTGTTGACTTCGGCAATATTATTCACCGGATTCGTTTCAAATTTCGTATTGAAAGATCTTAATGGGTACCAAAACCTAGGACAAAAATTTCATATGCAGGTCCACGTCTTCGTATAGTCCCCATACAACGGTTTTCATTTAAGTGGTATTTTTTGGAATTTTTTGGAATTTTTAAAGTTTCTTCTAAATGGTGGAGGTTATTAAAAGTTCGGCCCGGTCGAACTTAGCTACTTTTTACTTGTTTTAAAATGTTTAAATTTTTATAGAATAGCATGACTGTAGTCAGATAAGTTCTACTAGTTTCAATTGTCTATAGCATTGCTTAGGTATGAATAACAATTTTCTTACCTCACCCGAAACTGACTAACTCAGCCAAAGCATAAGCAAAGTCCACTCTTTGCCATTTAGTTATACATTATAGCAAGTGAAATTGATTTAGATATAATTTCAACTCAATTCTTTTGTTAGGCATCCAGAATTGATTCTAGATGCACCTATGAATAGACTAAAAACAATAAAATCTAATACCAACTAGTTTTGCTTGACTTTCTGAGTATCGGGGTTGGCGATCTCTTTATGAGTTCGTTTAACGTGGATGTGTGTGTGTGTTGGATACATTTATCTCGACGCCACTGATTGTTATCATCATCCATACTTGCCACTATTATGCTGGAAGATGTTGAGCAACTTGTCAGGTAGCTTTCTTAAGACGTACAAAGCGTATAATTAACTTAGTTTAAAAATATTCTATCTTTCTTTTCGGCTATTTTGCCATAGTCGTTGGCCACTAACACCCAAATGACTATTATTCAGATCAATTCCGAGAAATAATTTGGCCAACAACAAGAAAACATTCAAAAAACAAAAAATAATTCATTAAAAGCAATTAATCCATAGAACTTCGAAAAAGAACACACAATAAATATTCGCAAAACAAAAATGGCAACAATGGCAGCGCTGAGCATCTATGAAAGGAACTGAATTATTAGACCACATCATTACCGAGATTCTTGTCGTACATCACGTTTTTAGCATAACTTGTGGTGTATAAAAATAACAAAAAATCCATAATAAGTTATCAGTTATAGTTATTTCACTCAAGGGAACAGAAGTAACTTGTCGAAACACCAGCATCATGGTAAGAATGGCGCCCAACGTGAGAAATGTGTTAGCAAATTTTTAATAAACTTTTATTTGCAGAAGCTCTTTGTTGTAACTTTGTCCGTTTTGGTTTCTGCCGCTTTGGGAGGACAATTGAGTAGCACTTATTTGCCACCCCATCAGGGTAGTGCATCGGCTCATTCAGCCAGTTTTGCTGCTGCTCCTTCTTCACAATATCTGGCTCCAGCTGCATCGGCCCCAGCTAGCAGTTATGCTACATCTGGTGGCTTCTCATCATCGGCTGGCCATTTCTCGGCCCCTGCTGCAGCCAAACCCTCTAGACAATATTTGGCACCCGCTGCTTCTGCCCCAGCTGTAAGCTTTGCTTCACATGGAAGTAGTTCAGGTGGTTTCTCATCTGGTGGTCATCATGCCGGAGGTTTCTCCGCTGGTGGACATCATGCTGGAGGTTTCTCATCCGGTGCTGGTCATCATGCCGGAGGTTTCTCATCCGGTGCTGGTCATCATTCCGGAGGTTTCTCCGCTGGTGGTTCCAGTGGCTTCGCCGTCGGTGCTGCTTCTAAACCATCGAAACAATATTTAGCTCCCGCCGCTTCTGCTCCAGCTGTCAGTTATTCGGCTCCTTCTGTTGGTTTCTCGGGCGCTGCTTCTGCTCCCGCTGCTCACTATTCTGCTCCAGCTGCTACTTCATTTGGTGGCTCCAGTGGTTTCTCGGTTGGTGCTGTTTCGAAGCCATCAAATCAATATTTGGCTCCAGCTGCCTCAGTACCCGTTGTTCACCACGCTGCTCCCGCTGTACACCATGCCGCTCCCGCTGTTCACCATTCCGCTCCCGCTGTTCATCCCGCTGTTCATCACGCTGCTGTATCTCATGGTCATGGTGGTAGTTTTTCATCAGGTTCTCATTCTACTGGCTTCAGTCACGCTGCATCTGCCCCCGCTGTTAGTTACTCAGCACCTGCAGCCAGTTTCTCTGCTCCAGCTGCTCATTACTCCGGCAGCTCAGTGGGTACTCAGTATGCTGCCAATGGTGGTTATGTCCGCCACTAGAGTGTCATATAGTGTGTGATTTCAAAGTAAATGTGATCTTATAATAAATGCCGAATTAGTTATTGAAAACGAACTTGAAGCTTTGATATTAGTGTTACTGGGTGGTTCCTATGCTATATAATGAATCCATCTTTGCAACATTCTCCACGAAAGATTGCCTTCAGAGCTGGATGTAGATTGCCTTCATAGCTTCAGAGCGAGTGAAAAATACTTACGAGCGGGGTTGCTTGAAAATTTCGTATTGTAAAAGAGGTTTATTCTCCATTTTTTATAACCTACACCACATAGTGGTAAGTATATAATGTATTTGTGCATTTGTTTGTAACAGGGAGAAGGAAGCAAGATACCCCTTAGTTACTTTTGAGGATCTGCATAGAATCACTTTTTGAGTCGATTTATGCATGTCAGTCCGACTGTCCGTCCATGTATTCTTGTGAACAAAATGCAGGTCGCATTTATTATCCGATTGAGATGAAATTTTGTAAACAATATTTGTTTGGCCCAAGGACGAACCCTATTGAAATTGGCGATATCGATCGAAGCAGATTTAGATATAGCTCCCATATATCTCCAACCGATTATCAGTCCAAATGACCTGAATTTTGGTGCATCCCATCCGATTTGACGGTTAAGTCCCCAACATTCGTAATATGCACCCCACAAGAATGGTGTTTGGTATCGGATACAACCCAGAAATACCTCTGCCAAATTGTATCAAGATCGGTTCAAATTTGGATATAGCTCCTATATATATCTTCAAACGATTTCGGGTTAATTGTGCACCAAATGGCCAATATCGGTGCAAATGAATTTTGAATTTTGGCACATCTGACCTATTTAAGTCTAGAAGTAAGTACATTAAATTTGGAGAAAATCGGTTCAGATATAGATATAGCTCCCATATATATGTTTCATTCGATTTGGTGTTTAAGTCCCTTACATTCGACAACAATGATGAATCTGTTACCAGATACATTATAGAGCTCCAAAATACCTTTCCAAATTTTATCGAGATCGGCTAAGATTTGGATATAGCTCCGATATATATCCTAATCCGATTTCAGGTTTATTGTGCAAATAACGGCTAATATCAGCCCAAATGGAGTAAATTTCGTGACGTATATTTCCATTTTGAGGAGTTCGGCCTCCGATATATATTTTTATACCCTTCACCATTCTATGGAGGAGGGTATAAAACGCCACCTCCCGATATTCGGTATTTTGATGATCTCAGCGACATTATTTACCGGAATTAATTCAAATTTCGTATTTAAAGTTCGTAATGGGTACTACAGCCTATGACAGAAAATTGTCTATGCAGGTCCAGGTCTTCGTATAGCCCCTAAATATCGGTATCTCCCTATATTCGGTATTTTGATGATTTTACCGACATTATTAACCGGAATTGGTAAAATTTCGTATTTGCACTTCGTAATGGGTACTAGGGTATAGGCCCCAAAATAACGGTAACTCCCTATATACGATTTTAACAAAGTTTATAACGCATTCTATTATTAATTTATATATTTTTATTTACATTTTTAATTCTTTCCAAAGTTTAAAGTTCGTCCCGCCAATCGTACTGCTTTTCAAATATATATATATATATATATATATATATATATATATATAAATATTTTTTTTTTTTTTTTTGAAAATTCCCAACTGTTCGAGAGTATTCAAAATTCTACCCAGTCGAATTTACTGCTCTTTTACTTGTTAGGAATTTAGATGTTGAAATTCCAAAAAACGATAGATGGTCAAAAACACGGACGTCATGTTGATGATGGTTTGTAGGTCATTGGAAAGAACAACGTGTTGGTCTGCTGTTAGGATAGTGAACCAGAATCCATTATATATGAACGTCGGGTCCTTGACGATTTGTGGCACAATTTCAGGATCGGGAACTCTGATAATTTGATTCCAAGTTGTTTGCATTAGTTATCGGGAGGTAAGATGTGCCAATTTTCGGGATATTTGAAAATTATGTTTGTCGGTTTCTAGTTATTTGGAAAACAGTCTGGCCGATTTGAAAATAATCGGGAACAATGATGTAAAGTCGTGAGGAACGATATGTTGATTTTCCGTTTCTTGACAACTTGTTGATTTTCAGATGTGTGGACGTTGGGTTATTCATGTTTTGAAGGTAAGTAATTGTTACAGAGAAGCGATTCGGCTCATGCATAGATAATCAGTAACTAGAGTTCCTCAAATTCCACTTTTTATACCCGAAAAAAACTTTTAAAATCTTGAAGTCCTTTGTTGTTGCAATATGGTCTGGCTTTATCCCTTTATTGTTGTTTTTATAAAACAACGCTTTTTTATTAGTGGAGAACGATGGTAATGTTTACCAGGGGGTAAGGCAGGGAATACCTAGGTTTCGGAAAGAGCCACCAATCCTCATCAGTTCCCTTGTTTTTTGTCTGGGATATTCTCCCCAGAAGTTATTTTAAAAATAACTTATATGACAAAAAACATTTTTTACCCAAGTGACGAGATCGTAAGCTCAATAGAAGGGGAACCAAAGAGTATTATTTTGTTGTTGCAAAATGGTGGCGGACGACGCACAGTGGGGAGAGATGCCCAAAAACGGAGATTAATTCAGGGAAGCATTCTATCGCTATGAAATTTTGCTCAGACATTCATATTACCTCTAATATATTTGGCATTAAAAATGGGACATAACGGTCCACGTTTCGGTAAGGCCCCCACTTCCAAATTTTACGTATTTTGGAAATTTCTCACTGCAAAATTACAAAAATTGCCTATATAAATCCAACATTTGAGTAAAGCCAGAAAAAATAATTTATCCTTTGTAAAACCTTCTAAAGTCTGAAGACAAATAGACTACATATTATTATCAGAAAGGAATAATATAATTAAATATGTATACAAAATTGGCTAGCAATCAAGCCTTCCTATCCGAAATAGACTAAAACCTTATTAATATATTTAGAAAAAAAAATATATGTGACTGACATTTAAAAAATCGTCCTCCCTTAAATCTCTCTCATTGTCTTAAATTCGATCATCAGTCAAAATTGAGTGTGAGGCAAGAAACTTCAGCACTGATTTTTTAAAGAGACTGGAATATTGTTTTATATAGTTTAGAATTCCAGTTAATAACAGGATAAAAAGCAATATAAACTTATTTAAAAAAGAGCCAAAAAATAAAAAAAGAAACAAATAAAACAGAGAACTAGATCAAAGTACATTCACCGCATAATCAGTTGACTATTTTCATTACTTTTTAAATTAAACAAAAACGGCAAAAAAACGGCACGATTTTTTTGTTGATTATGAAAGATAACATTCCGTACTAAAATACAAAATTAAAATTTTGAAATCTTCTCGATTTTATTTTTTTAAAACTCCATATATTTTTCGGATATTTTGACATCATTATTTTTAAAACTTTTTTATTCAAAAACATTGATAACAACCTGTTTTCGATGTTTCAATTTTAAAATGATCACTTTTGATGAGAATAAAACTAAATAATTGCACTTCAAAAAACCAAGGATAATTTTTTCCTACTTCTTGCGAAAAACGGAAATATTTCTTAACTTTGTCACTGTGTAATTAGAAAACTAAACAAGGTATGACTTTTTTGATACTGATGTAGTGTTCTATAATAGTGTTCTATAATAGTTTAAAAACATTTATTTCAAAAGACGAATTTTATTTATCAATTAATCTCCGTGTTTTGTGATTTCAACCCTCTGTGCGACGGCCTTCTGAAAAAAATTTACCAGACAAATTTTGCAGAGTAAAACTAGTAACGAAATTACCCGCTGAAAATTGGATTTTGACTTTGGATTTGATATTTTGAACGATCTTTCCATGACTACTTCGGTGCTATTCCTATTAAATCTAACGCGATTATTTGCATTTTATCTCGAATCTCGAAAAACGGATTTCTAAATATCAAATATATTTTCAAGTAAAATTCTGAATTCTAGTTGATCGTTATTGAGAAAAATATTGAAATTGTTGGTACAAAATTGTGAACAGATATTTAGGAGAAATGTGTATAATGCTACAACAGACGTAGAATCCTAAATAGCGCTTTCACATGTCGTCCAATTTCCTTTAACTAATTTATGATAGCGAACAGGAAAAACATATTTAACAAAACAAATTTACATTATTGTTGCAAGATTTTCATTTATTTTGATTGAAAAAAAAAAATAAAATTTACAATTTATATTTTATCGAATTTAGACTAAAATTTAATTTATCATTGAGTAGGTCATGAAAACTCCTTAATTATTATGGAGGCTCTTTTTATTGTTATCTCATTGTATAGCAATAAATAATTGTGTAACATTCAATTCAAACCATTTTTTTTTTGTTTTTTTTTTTTTTTTTTTTTTTTTTTTTTTTTTTTTTTTTTTTAAAAACGTCATTGCTAATTTATTCTAGAAAGTCATCGTCCAAATTGCCTATTCGAAAAGAGCGTTTACAAGGTGAAATATTAATAGATATTGTTTGTTTAAATTCATTTGATTTTTTGAATTTTAAAAATACAATTGTTTCTAAAAATGTAAATTAAATATCGACAATTTAATTTCATTGTGACCTTGTTTGGGGAAATTGAACTGATGTCAAGCCTATGATTTAAGAGTACCGATTTGTTAATTATCAAAAAAATAGAATATATTTGAAAATAAATATACAATTAATATTTTTATACGCTCCACAAAACTCTGGATCGGAAGGCAGGTTAAAATAGGAAATGGGCTATATAGGTGCACGTTTTCGTATATCGCCCATATATAGTCTTGCGGGCTGATAATCTGGTACCCTACAACACTACAATACATGGTGAGGTGAAAAAACTGCAACCAACTTCAGACTGCTGTCATTTCTAAGCCACTCGTCCGACAGCTGTTAAAATTATACAGTGACAGCTAACTATATTGTTTACAAGCGTACAAAAGCATTTTGGTGAGAATTTTCCAGAAAAAAAGTTATTCGAGATGGAATTCAAACTTGGTATTGTGATTTCCTTA